GCAGTAGCCCCGCTCCCACCGGCCGCGGCACGCCTGGCCGCTTCGGCCGCCTTAGCAGCAATCTCTTCGGCCTCTTTGGCCTTTGCAATAGCCATCATGGAACGGCGGTCCATGACAAAATCTACAAGGGAAAAACACAAACAGATTAGTAAGGCAAAGGACAAAACATAAAGACAAAAGGCCGAAGAAATAATTACCATCGGCCTCAGCAGGAATGCCTAAGTCCGGGCCGTCGGCCTCCTCAAAGGTGGTGGTCATCCTCGGCCAGAGTTGGAGGTCATCCTCCTTGTCACCATAGACATAGTACCTCACGAAGCCGAGGGCGGCCATCTTGTACTCAGTGATGTAGTCTTTCACGCTCCTCGGCCCCCCCTCCAGGAAAGCCTCCACCTGAGCGTCCAAAATAGAGCTCTTCGGCGGGTCATGCAGATTAAATCTCCCGGTGTGGTCGAGGGAGGGAAACTCGGTGCCACTCTCACCAATGGACACAAACACGAACTTGCTCTTCCACCCATGAATGGACGTAGGCAAATCCGTGAAGCTCCTCTTCTTCGGCAGCTGCTGAAGAGTCGCGTAGGCCGCACAGTTCTTGTGGCTTCCTCGGCCTATCTGGTACAGATTCATAAACAACGCCGTTGTCGGCTTGTAGCCCAACTCCTCACACCGGAGCAAGAACCCCACCATCAAGGAGTAGCTGTTCGGCGTCAGCAAGGCCGGAGGAAGCCCTACCATGTCCAGGTACTCAGTAATGAAAGGGTGAAGAGGAAACCTCAACCCCTTAGCAAAACTCATCGGGTATACTCCAAAGTACCCCGATGGTGGAAAAAGAACATGGTCCGTCGGCTTGGGCGCCCTAACCCGCCCGAACGGCCCCACGTACATCTGGGCAACCAGATAGTCGGCCGCACTGCTCTCCGGCTTTATCAGGTAGATATTGGTGAGATCCAAGTAGGAGACGCCGGGCCCACTCTTCGGCCTCCTCACTCTCTTCGGCTTGGCGGCTCCCTTAACGGCGGACACCGGCCTCGGGCACGGAATGACGGCAGAAGTGGACGCCCCGTCCACCACTCGGGACACACCTACGTCCTCACCCCTTGAAGAAGAGGCGGACTCCTCGTCCTCGCCTTCCTCGTCCATCAGCTCCGCGGACTTGTATGGACTTAAACGCTCTATCTCCTCCTCAAACTCCTCGAGCACCTCGTAGTCAAGCGACCTCGTGGAGGGCTGGTCGTCGTAGGGGTAGTAGTCGTCGTTCAAGCTCTTCATTACTACTACTATGGGCTTAAGGAGAACTTACGATCTAAAGGTGTTTCAATGCCTAACACTAGATCAACTACTTACGGAGCAAAATACGAAAAGTGAGGAAGATCGTGATGAACACTAACCTCAAACAATGAAGAGCACGAAGAACAGGCTTGGGAGTTCTCTCTCTAGAAAATCGGCCAGCACTTCGACAAATTCAGAATGCAAATGTGATTCTTCATCGGAGGGGAAGGGGTATTTATAGACCCCCCACCAACGGTCACTACACGTGGCACTCACCCAATGGCCACATCAACGGCCACCACTGGGGGGCCACCACGTCACCAACGGGCCAGGACCAACCCATATCAACGGCCCACCGGCAAATCAAACCCTACGGCCTACACACGCTCAGCGGCCTTACAACTGCCAGCAAGCGCCCACAACGTCCCACTTGCTCACCAAGATCACAAATGCCGAACAATAAGCGGATGGCAACGGCCAGGAACGTAACGGCCACAGAACAAAGGGGACAAATAGCGCACAGCCTTCGGCTCCTCGTAATAACCCTTGATGATAACTCTCTACAAGCGATCTGCGCACAAGGGTTCTCCCACAGGGTTACCTTGGCCAGAAAATCGCCATGAGAGTTGGATTCAGGGGGACTACGGCGAGACCGCTTCGGCCAGGGACTTAAGCAACTCCTTCACCCCTCACACTCTTCGGCCTGAAGCAGTGGGGGACTGGGGGACTACACCGGCCTCAACAAAACAGGAGTGCGAATAAGGTAACCACAAAGCATGGCCACATCATCCATACAGCACAACAGAACTTCATCGGTCAAAGGCCCATAACGTCACTAGCAACGGCAAACAAGCCACTAGAGGCAAGGACACTCATCATCCTCCGCCAACAATCAATCTTGACGGGCTCTTCGGCCAAAAACACGAAGGCCAACCAGCAACGGCCAAATGGAGTGCGCAAACACCCTCATCGGCCACACAAAGGAAATGAGGCCATCGTCCTCAAAGCAAGGAACAACCTCGACGGCTTCACCGGCCCAAACATAAACTTCAACCACCAACGTCCAGGAAAGGGAAAGCGCGCCTTCAACGGCCACCATTGAAAGAAGGACACTCATCGTCCAAAAACAAATTAAGGAAACAACGGCCTCCCCGCCCACAGCGAGGAACAGGTAACGGCCAAAGCACAGGACAGGATCACCAAAGGGGAAACAACGCCAACGCCGCAACGGCTAACGGCCTGGGAATGCCCGCGTCGGCCGAAAGCAACAAAGCGCAGAAATCTACTCTCCTTCATTTCGTCTACGTCTCAGCTTAGAGAGTGGGGGACTCCTGATGGAGTATATGGGTCTGAGCCCCAGGACCCACATACTCGGAAGAACAGAAAGCATAAGACAACAGAGTGGCGCCCTCGTCGGCCAAGACGCCCCCGTCGGCCGAGAAGAGGCCAACTCGGATTGTGGTCCTGAGTCCAAGAAACCCAGGTGCCCTCGTCGGCCGTGCCCTCGTCGGCCGTGCCCTCGTCGGCCGCACCCTCGTCGGCCACGAAGACCTCCCAGAATCGGATTCTGTACTTGCTCATTTGTATAGCCCATTAGAGGCTTTGTATTCGGCCCAGTAGCGGTCCAGTTGTAAATGGGTCTCCCAAGCCCAAGGCTTGGGAGCCCAACCCTAATTTTCTCTATAAATACTCCCCTTGGGAGTAGTTATGGGGGTTGCAAATTCATTCTATTGAAGCATATTACTGCACTTCTCTCTCTAGCTCTCACTTCCCTCTAGAATCTAAGAGATATACTCTATCATTAATAAATGGAGAGATCGAGTTCAAACGAGAAGATGATGAATAGTGATGTTTGTGACTTAGGTTTACAAGGGCTCCAAGAGGAGTTTTATAGAGAAATAACAGGTTGGGCCACTAATATGGGCCTGATAAGTCCAACTACATAGCCTAATATAGTAGATACAAAAGATATATGAATGGTACAATAATACAAATGACATCTGGTAAGCGTATGTGGACCGCTGTCCAAACCCAATAGTCGTGAGATCCGGGGGATCCAAGTCTATATACTCTATCAAAAACATTTACGACCATTTGGTTATTTTAATGCGTTTCATTTGTTGGGTATAGTTGTTCCTTGCCATTAAATTTGACACGAATAATTGGTTATATTTTACACTTTTTTGTAGAAACATAGGAGCATTAGCTCTTACCTATCATTAATGATCAAACGAGGCTGAGAAATCTCATGCAAGTCATACATCATGTGTAGAGTTGGACTCGGGCCGGGTCGGGGCCGGCCGGGCCGCCGGTTCCTAATTAACCCCCCTCCTACCCCCAACCCCCCAAACCACCCCAAATGGCCCAAAATACCCAGCCCAACCCGAAAATTTAAAAAAAAATGAAAAAAAAAACAATTTTGGCCCGAACCGGGTCCAGGTCCGGCCGGGTCGGGCCTTGTTTTGGGTGACCCGAGCCCGGACCGAAAAATCCACGGGTCAGGCCTACCCGGACCGATCACTGACCGGGCCACCGGGTCGAGCCGGGCCGGAACAGTACCGGTCCCGGGCCGGTTCCGGGTCGGGCCACCCGGCCCGAGTCCATCCCTAATCATGTGTAACGACAATTTAGAATCCAACATTAGAAATAAAATGAAAGTCAATACGTAATCTATTTTGTTATATATCTAATGTAGTTTGACTAGTTTCTATGACATTTAAGTGCATTTACACGCAATATCATCAAACAGTGCACCAAGTCAGTCACGCACTTTTAACTTCCTACAAATTACAACTTACAATGCAAAGACTTATATTTTAGTACAAGGTTAACTTTAGCATAAGTATTTTACAATGTATCTAGTAAAGTATTTAAGTGCGTCATTATAAATTTGTATTTTACAATGAAAACACATTGACCAAGCCAAAAAGTCCATAACGAAAATGCAAATTGGATGTGATACAGACACAATTTTAAATTTTAAAATAGTTCAGCATTTAATACGGAGTAGGAACTAATTAAGTAGTAGTCTTAATAATTATAAGGAAGCAACAACTTAATCATTTGCACTCACATTAATATATATATATATATATATATATATATATATATATATATATATATATATATATATATATATATATATATATATATATATATATATATATATATATATATATATATATATATATATATATATATATATATATATATATATATATATATATATATATATCCTTTTGCGCTTAATTTTGGCATTCTTCTTCATTACTATATATTTCCTCCGTTCTTGTTTAGTTACAACGTTCCTTTTTCTATGTTTGCCAATGCACAACTTTGACCGTCATTGTATTTAATTTTGTAGCAGTAAAAAACTTTTAAAATCAGATTATGAAACTTTGTAATTAGACGAATTCAATAATATTTTTCAAAAAAAATAATTCACATACATTAATAGATAAAATGTAGTCAAAGTAGAGTACATAAATAATGTGTAAATTCTAATGTTACAACTATTTCTAATTTTGATAAGTCTGCTATTATGTGGATCGTGGATAGTATAATGTTACAACTATTGCGTGGAAAATGCAGTTTGAAATTTCACATCCTGGCTAATACGTAGTAGTTGAGTAGACGGTTCTAGTTTTATTCTTCTATTTAGGGGTAGTCTTATGAAAACTTTCTTTGGTGTCTACAAATGTTATAGTCTCTACATTGAGTCAAATTTTGTGGGTTGGTCTATTAATAGTTAAGATTATCCCTTATAGTAATAACAAGAATACATGATAATGGAATTAGACAAAAGCTGTGGGTGGTTTCTTAACCAGTCTACATTTGTTATTTTCTTTAATAGTTAAGATGATCCCTTATAGTAATAACTAGAATACATGATAATGGATATCTTTCACTGTTTATAATAACCTCTTGGTAAAATATGCTACCATATAAACCTTTGGACCCCAGATTCATGGTGGGACCAGGAAAATGGCCGAAACAAGAACATGAACATCGTGAAGCAGTTAACAGCAGCGTACATCACTCCCATTAGAATCCAACTCCTGTTGTCATTGACATGGGAATGGAGAATCAGAAAGAAGAATGGAATGGTATAGTATCTGAACTCTATGAGAGGGGCAGGAACTAGGGTAGCTGCAGTTGCCAACAAGTATCCCACCACCCATAGCTTCTTCTGTCTTTTTCCTGCAATTAAGAACACAATGATTGCAAGAGTCATTCAGGACTCAATCTTTTGAAGTATCTGTTCTAAAAGAAGAGTAGTAAAACTATTTCAAGTAACTAAAAGCCTGTTTGTAGCAAAAAGTTGCATATTTTGATTATTATCTGCATTAACAGAACAATCAGAATAAGTAGCCGTGCACTACTTATTTGGCTGAAACATTTTTTTACCAAACATTTCTCCTTCAAGAAGATTCAGGTGATTGAGCCATATTGAATTTGAATAACTCTTACCAAATATGCTTGAAGTCAGAAGCTACTTGTACTTATTTTGGAGATTCTGCTATTATGTGGATTGTGGATAAGCAAAAGAAGTCATATGTGGCTGCCAAAAGGCCTCTAACATTCTCCACCAAAAAAAACTTTAAAAAATTATCACATGAAACCAAACACAAGAAGAGTGAATATAACTGACCTAACACGCTCAGGATTGAAAACCACATATAAGTGTAAAGTGGAACGAGAAGGTACTTCATTGACCAGTGACGATTTAAGACTTTCCTCCAAAGATAAAAGGGATAGTGGCGATTATCAGCCAGGAGGTATGGATGAGCTATGCTGCAAAGTAGAAGGGCATACTTGTTACTTATTTTTGACAGGTTTGAAAAGGCATGCTCCTTTAATCTAATAAAAAGGCTTTCATGACATTCCCAATAAGTCAAAACCTTAGTCTTTTTTCAAAAATGAAACTTTTGCAACCCGTATTAAAATAATTCACAAATTTCCTGTAAATATTTGACCCCCCCCCCCCCCCCCCCCCCGGCAGTGTAAAGGGGTAGTTGTGATAGCTTTTCATGTTTCTGTTTATCTTGTGATAGCCTTCTCATGTTTCTGTTTATCTTGTGATAGGTTCTTAACAAATATAATTCACTTGTAATTGATTGTGATTTCAAACTTATTAGTTTTTTTTAATAACTTCAGGGGGTCTGAGGGAGGGGGGCTGGGGGGCCTGGAGTAATCAGGGCTGAAACTCACTCCATTGAGTTTCAAACCCTTATGTGCCTAGCGGGTTTCGAACTCGAGACCTCCCACTAGGCACGACAACCTCGCAACCAGCGACGCTGGAATGCTTGGTTTCAAACTTATTAGTATTCTATCTTCTTTTCTAAAATAAAATGAATATTGTACTTTGTTGGTGATTAATCTATTTAAAAACTATTTTACCTCATTTTTTGTAATTCTTTTATTAAAGTTCACAGCATAATGAATAATAAGTAAATTTAAAATATAATGCCACACATATAGTACAGGTAGCTTTCATTCATGTCTACAACTGATTTTTTACATATTAACAATTACCCTCTCTGTCTGTATACAGGTTAAAATATCTATTTCATTTCACCAAATTATCCTTCCAGTGGAACCAATTGTACAAAATCAGTTCAAAAAAAGTAAGAGGGATGGAGGGGGGAGAAGTGGTAAATAAGAAAAGTCAAAGTTTGTAGTGTTCAAATTAGGAAAGTGGACATTATTTATGAATAGACCAAAAGAAATGTAAAGAGATAATATGGAGCAAAGGAAGTGTTATTTTCACGGCTTCACCTACCTGAAAAAGTGCACTGATATGAAGCCAACACTCATGGCTATGGACAACTTGAAGAGGCTAATCAGTTTATTTTTCCAGAATAACTGAGCAAGCAGTACAAATTGTGCAAAAGAGAAGAGGACAGGTGACATTAAAAGGGCAGAAACCAAACTGAAATACAGGACCTGTGCAAAATGGGGAGAAACAGCATGAGCTTCCTTTGCACCTGCAAGGAAGTTTCAAGAATGAACTCCAACTTAACCCTTCTAACAAAAACATATATATAAAATAAAAAATCAGAGAGGGAAAGAGTTTGGATACCAAGAACTATACTCCCATTCCAGTGAACAAAAATGACAAAAGCCACCAAAGTGAGAAAGAACGGACCAAAAGAAGCCAAAAGATCCCACTTCATATTCCAGGATGATGAAATAACTGCCCTTATATCATCAAACAACTCTGCAAATTCCAAAAACGGTCGGTCGTCATCAGATAACCATAAATTAAGGCTCTGTTTGGTTGATCCAATTGGCTTATTCTGCAAAATAATCAGAATACGCAGCCATTGACTTATTGGACGGAAATTAATTTTACCAAATGCTTTCCATTCAGAAAATTCAGCAAATGCAGTCCTTTAGGCAAATAACCCTTACCAAACGGGCCCTAAATCACACCCCTAAGAATATGCAAATTCAAAATGATGATTCTTAAAGGAGTATCTATAATAAGACCTGCTTCTGATGGAATCGCTGAATAAAAAGTTATTTGACTACTGACCTGATGCATGGTGCAGGGAACTGTGAGTTGTATGGCTATTCAAATGGCTCTTTTCATTAGCATGATTAGCAACAGCTCTTCGTTTTCTCATGTTTGATCCCATATGATTAGAGGTTACTGTCTCTTCCTGAACTAGTTCATTGGAGACAGCATACTCCCTGTTGTCCTTCTGACGATCAAGCGTATAATCTAAAATCCCTGTGAATGCTATGAATATCATCCACACAATATTTGTTTGTCGCACAATAACAGCCAAAGCACTGAGCTACAAAGAAGATATGGGTTAGAGTTTGAGCTTAAAAGAAGTCCTTTAAGTCCTTGTTTGGTTGAAAGATTTTGGAAGGGATGAGTAATACTTATGAAGCATGAAACTCTTGGGAAGGGGGATGTGCCTGTTTCAGAAACTCTTTAGAAACTCAACAAACGCTTGTTTTTCTGCTAAATGTTGATGTTTCCCGTTTCATATTTCCCCATGTTTCCCACCTTTCCATGTAACATGGGTAATACTTAACTAATTTATTTATTGTTACGCTTAGATGGTTGGAAATAAAAGTGAAATACTATAAATGTATTTACATGTCTGGCATAATACTTAACAATATAGATAAATTAGTAAAACAAAAAAACAGTCCTCCCCTTTCTCTCCCCTCTGAAATCCCCCGAACCAAACAGGCAAACACACTTATAATCGAACCAAAACCAAAATAGTTTTGGCATTGGTACATATAAATATCAAAACCTGATTCCAAAAGTAAGAGAGAAACACCTTTGCATATTATTTCTAGATGCTACACAAATAGTGTAAATATAAATTATGAGTTGGTAGCTGGTTAAGCTTGTTCTGCTTATTTAATTGGCAGAAATTTCTGAAATGGATTTTGCCAAACACTTTTCATTTCAGAAACTCTAAGCTAATTCAGCCGCTGTTTCAGCCAAATAACCCTTCCTGAACGGGGTCTATATGATGAACCTTGGTTTTCTTACCAATGCACTGGAGGGATAATTCTTCTTGAGACTCATAAGGTAAGAAGCGAGAACTGCAGCTAGTGATGCTACGTCAGTATAATAAAGAAAGGTGAAGAACCAGTGAAGGGGATATAAAGCTAAGACAATTGCCCGAAGAGATGCCTTCATGTCACTTACACCTGGCGTTAGATGGGTGATTATATCATAAAACAGAATACTGCAAATCACAGCCAAAACTCCATTGACAAGACGCAAGATCGGAGTGGAACAAGCTTCTGAAAATGATGAGACCACTTCCAATGAGAATAGCCCTGGAAATAAAGAAGCAACATGGGCAAGTGACACAAAGTACCTGCAGGGACACATCAACCTTTTTCATCAATTGAATAAAATTTAATTACCATCTGTTTGAACGTAGCCCAGCAAACATAGTTACAGTGATATCTTGCTTTTCAATTTTCTCTATTTTCCCCAATTGATGAGTAGCAGAACAATCAACAATGTACAAAATATTCTAGTAATGCAATACTCCCTGAATTCCTACTTATCTGTCTATTGGAAAAACCACCCAATTTAAGAAAGTACATTTGGACGAATAACTTGATCAAAACTTCTTATATTTGAGATAAATCGCCCCATGTGTAATGCATGAATAAATGATTAGAATCGATTTAATGACTGTTATAAGGGTAAGTTTGGATAAAAATATATTTGATGTGCATAAATTTTATAAAAGGGGGGGGGGGGGGGGGGGGGGGGGGGGGGGAAGGAACAAGCAAATTGGGTCGAAGACTGATAAATGAGAGCTAAATCTAAACTACTCATACTGAAGCATTCATAATAAAGATCAAAACTTTTTTCTTCATTTGATATAAATGGTGTTTTAGTTCTATGGATGTTGTGAAAAGGCCAAAGAAAGAACAGCTTTAAATCGTCAATTGGCGCAATTTCAATTCAAGATAACCTAACAGAGGTGAAGCAAGGGTCTCACAAGCCAGGGAGAGTGGTAATCATTGGATCCCAAGTTGTGAAATTGCCTTTGCAGTATTTTTGAGCTTGAGGGATATGAAATATTTCATCCTGCGCAACCAAAACTCAAGATAAATTTTGCACTGTGTTGATTTGAAAAGAAAATTGTATTCATGATTACATAACGAACCATGTAAGGATCTGGGACAATGCGATTGACTAGAATGGATACAGGCATCACCCAGAAGCTTACGATCAGTGCAACTGCTATTCTCCCCATTTCCACTCTTTCTCCACAGCCACGACCCTGGTAGTCACTGGCGTTTCCAGGCTATTTGTGAATATTTCCCTACGCAGTGATCACTATGGAGTACATTTTTTATTTTTAAATAGCAAAAATTCAAAATATGATGATGCTCAGAGAACAATAAATTTCTAACAACTGAAATTTAATTTTAAAATTAATAAAAAAAACTCAAAGTAAACAATAAAAGCAAGAAAAATAAAATTTGGAAACTTGTAAATTAAATTTGAAAGATATTTGAAAATGAGTTTAAACTGTAAAAACAAATCAGAAAATAAAAAACATAAAGAAAACTTAAAAAAACTTGAATACGAACATCTAAAAGTTTAAAATAATACTCCTACGTCCCATTCAGGTTAACATCACTATTCTCCGATCAACGTCCATTATTCTTAATCTTTTACTTTATATATCCAACTTTTATCAAATTTACATTTTCTTGATCAGACTTTGTAGTGGTTTTAATGTAGTTTCTGAATATGTAAATTTTATTTACTAAAAATAATTCTACCAGTGACGGAGATCAGTTAACTTTATGGTCACTCAAACGTCGTAAACCGCGTGGGAACGTTTAAATGGGACGGAGGGAGTAAAACATATGAGGAAATTGCAAAAAGGTTCAAAGTATGAGTTCTTAATGTAATTTTCTAAAATGGTTAATATAACTTACATAAATATATAAAAATCAAAATTTTATTAAAAAAATATAAGTGGTAAAAAATAAAAAAAAACTGAGGAGGCTGTTCATTATATCAAACGTTAGCGCTAGAAGCATCCAATCTTAAAGTAAAAATGACGACGTTGAGGAGGCCGTTAATGATATGAAGGTGATGATCGCCACAAGGTAATGGAATGGCTAGCGCGATCGCTAGATCAAGACTTTCGCATTGAGGCCCTGTCTTGAAATAAAGATGATGGCGCTAAGGAGGCCGTTAATAACTTGAGAACGTCGGCGTTGAGAAGCCAGTCAGAATCCAAGTGAAGGAGGTGTGACTAGTCTTCAGATAAATGATTAGTTGGGAGATATATTTTTTCATTTTGCACAAGGACAATGGTGAGTCATGTACATATCCCCTCTTTTTGTTTTCTATATGTTCTTTTTAGTTATCTTTGGGTTGTTCGTTGTTAACCGGTCTCAAGTTCTTAGGATGCATGTCGTCTGAGGGTCAACTTGCCCTTGGTTGGAGCTTGGGCATCATTGGGCCCCTAGGGTCAATAGGATCTCGGCCTCTCATTCTGGGCATTAAAGCCCATCACTTAATTGTTCCTGGCTAAGGCGACGTTGACGAATATGATTTACTTTAGTTTGGTCACATGAAGTCCCTGAGAAGCGCTATTAAGTGTTTTGAGATCGAAACCTTAGCCAATACTCCAACTTATTGTCCCTCGTAGAGATAAGACAACGTGGTAAGTATCTCGTGAGATGACTCAATGAGTGTCTCGCCCGTGTGAGGCCGTGGGGACATTAGGTTTAGGAGCGCTATTCATGGCAACATGTTTTGGACAATGCGGTAAGCGTCTCGGTAATTGGGGTGTATTGTTACCCTTTTATAGGTTTGGTGCCCTGTGTAGTGTCGACGATGACCCTCGGGTTTAGGTGTGTGGTTCTGGCAACAATTTTTGAGAGCCTACATGTGTATGTGTGTCTTGTCCTCCTTGAAAGTTGATAGTTGTGTTGCTTTGGCAATGGCTTTTGGAGGCGCTCATGAGACAATGGTGCTTCGGTCCCTTGATTCATTCCTTAGGCTTCTCGAGTGCTATTGCCCTATGATAGGATCATCTAGTGATGATTTGTTGGAAGTCACACGGTAAGCGCCTTGCTGCTTTTGAGCCGTATCGACTATGAATGAATGACATCACTTGGCGCCTTGAGATCTAGCCGGTATTAGGGTATAGTCATTGATATGGTTTTAGGATTAGATGCATCATTGGGGTAATGCCCTTTAGAGATGCTCAAATCATCACATAAAGATGGCCGAGAGGTAGGTCAAGGGACACACATAAAATCAGTCATCAAATAAAGATGATGGTGATTATTTATTATTAGAGCTAATTGGCTTACATTATTTACTTTGTGGGAATTTTACTGTCTAGTAACAATGGTGATTTTAATAAAATTACCACTACTTAATATTTTAATTATGAGTGAGAGTTTTTTGTGGTACTACTATTTTAATACTCCGTACTTTATTTTGTGGCCGCGAGAGGCGAGGATGGTTAGAGATCCTTATGCCGTTCTACCGATACACACAACAAGTCCACTTAATCAAAATTCACAGATAACCAGTGGCCAAGTTCGACACAGACTGGACCACTCATGCACAATCGAACCACACCTATGGTTTCTACAGATCTGTACTAACAGATACTGTACATGCAGGGTTTACAGATACTTTATTTTGTGGCCGCAAGAGGCGAGGATGGTTAGAGATCCTTATGTCGTTTTACCTGTCGGAGACGAATTCAGTTTTTTCGATAGTGAGGTAATGGGGAATGATATGACCCAATGGTGAATAAAATGGTCCCTGATCCACTCGAGGTGCTTGGATGAGAGGCCGTCTTATTTCTATAGTAGGTTAGGAGGGTCTCACTTGATGTGTTAGAGTTTTAGACCACACCCAAATACATAAATGGACTAATAAGTGATACTCGTGCAAAGTCTATTGTAATGTGTATGTGTAAGTAAAATAATGTGTACAATAATATAAAGAAAAATTCGATTCACGGTCCTCTTTTTTTTCGAGCTCTTCTTTTACTTGGTATTATAATTTTTTTATTTCTAGTTTGTTTCTTGAGTCCAAACTCTCTACCTTCCACAATTGCCTCATAAAAGCCGGCAGCGTCTTGGATGACAAACCTGGACTGGATTGAAGATGCTCAACATTTTGGTTTTACCCGTACAAATTATATGTTTTCTTCTTTAGTTTCCTCACTGGAAAAGTTAGAAAGCAAAATGAACATATCTTCGCAGACAATCTAACAAACCTTCATCACCATAGCATCTAATGGAGCTATATACACATTAACATAGTCCCCATATTCATTAGAATGAAAAAAAACATTGAGAGAATCGCTCTTTTAGTCCCTCAATAAGTCACCATATTGAAATATTAGACATGTGTTTCTGAGATGGTAAATGTCACCCCTGAATTGACAGATGTGTTCTAAATGTCATCTTCGTTATTTATAATTCATCTCCAATTCTAGATTACCAATAAATTCATCGGACTTGACATTTTAATATGATGACTAATTGAAGGATGAAAATGTGATTTTCCCTTTGAAAGTTAAGTGATTAATTTTATTTAGGATTATAAAAAAAATGAAAGTTAAGCTGTTAACTGTATTCGATAGGAAGGATTGAATTATGGCTTTCAAGGAGTGTGATGAGATATTTTTGTTTCTATCGGAAAATGAAGTCGATTTCTTTGTAGCTATATGTTAAAAAAACAAAAAAATATACGTACTAATAGAAATATGAATTCACCGATTAACTCGATGACCAAATGAAAGTAAGTGGTTAACTACTTAACTATATTCCATAGGAAGGTTGAATTATTGCTCGCAAAGAGTGTGATGAGATTTTCCATCATTTGCAATGGAACCAAAGATTCATTATTTTTTGGCTTGAGATTATGATGGAATAAAGCAAAATGGCTCACTAAACTGTTTGCGCTTCTTTGTCATGAAACAGCAGTCAGTCCATGCAATTTTGGATGGGATTTTCACTAAGGGTCATCCGAAAACAGTCTCTCTGTGCTTTAGTACAGGGGTAAGACTGCGTACATCCGACCCCCCCTTACCCCACCGTAGGTGGGAGCCATTGAGGCACTGGGGTAAATGAAAATAAAATGAAAATGATCGGAAAATGAAGTCGATTTCTTTGAAACTCTGTGTTAAGGCGTGAAAATAATTATTTCAGAAAGTGTCAAATTATTTAATAAAAAAAATAAAAAAATCAAAATATATGGAATTTTAGGTTGTTTCAACCATTCAAGTTTTATATCGACACATTTCATTTTCAGGTCCTGAATCGATAGTTTATGCATCTTTTAGGTCCCGATAAAATTCCTTTATATTTATTCTATTTTAGTGAAGTGATGGTTATACGTGCGCCACTATCATGCCCAATTGTCTTTGAGACCGGAGGCCCATCTGTGATGTAGTATATACTTCTATATAATTAGTAAAAAATTAATATACTATATATATCTTTGAAATGATATGAAATAATATAAAGTGTGTAATTTTATTTGTGATGTATCTAATTATTACGAAGCATAGAGTAAAAAAATAAAATAACACTGATGGAGTATATGGGTCTGAGCCCCCGGACCCACATACTCGGAAGAACAGAAAGCACAAGACACAGAGTGGCGCCCTCGTCGGCCAAGACGCCCCCGTCGGCCGAAAAGGGGCCAACTCAGATTATGATCCTGAGCCCAAGGAACCCGGGTGCCCTCGTCGGCCACGCCCTCGTCGGCCACGAAGACCTCCCAGAACCGGATTTTACACTTACTCATTTGTACAGCCCATTAGTGGCTTTGTATTCGGCCCAGTAGCGGTCCAGTTGTAAATGGGCCTCCCAAGCCCAAGGCTTGGGAGCCCAGCCCGTATTTTCTCTATAAATACTCCTCTTGGGAGTAGTTATAGGGGTTACAAAATCATTCTATTTTCTCTATATACACTCGCCCCTAGGCTTTGAAAGCGCCAGGACCGGCCCTGCCGACCCTCAACAAGCATGCCACCTTTATATTTATATTTTACACAATTATAAAATTATACAATCTCTTTTTACTAGTTGTATTTAAGTATTTATTTTATGTGTTTTATTTTATAATTTTTTTTTCCAGGTTTTTGGTTTTATATTTACATCTTGTTTATATTTTTCATTTGTGTTTTTTAAAATTTATATCTTTCATTTATTTAATATTTTTTACTTTTATATGTATAATTACACACACACATACTTCCTACTACGTGTTTGATAGAGTATATCTAGAGAGAAGTGAGAGCTAGAGAGAGAAGTGCAATAATATGCTTCAATAGAATGATTTTGTAACCC